CGCTTCTCCTGCTTCCTCTTCTTCTTCGTCGCTGCTGCTGCTGCTGCTGCTGCTGCTGCTGCTGCTGTCTCCTTCGCTGTCGCTGCTGTCTCCCTCGCTGCCGTCGCTGTCGCTCTCGCTGCTGCTGCTGCTGCTGCTGCTGCTGCTGCTGCTGCTGCTGCTGTTGCTTTGGCGGTCTTTTATGAGTTGGGAGCGAGGGGTGAAACCAACCTGAAAATAAAATAAAACAAAAATAAATTAATTTTAAATCAGCTACAAATTAATTAATATATTTATTTATTTATTTATTTATTATCTAATTTATTTAAATCAATTAGTTTATTGATAATGAAATGATCTGATTCTCGTTTTGACAATAAAATAAATGTGAAATTGAAGAAAAAGGAAACAAATAAAGAGACAAAAAGGAGACATATAAGGACACAAATAAAGAGAGAAATAAAAGGAGAAAACGAATTCAAAAAAGATCCAAAAAATGCCAAAAGGATATTAAAAGAACAAATAAATGGACAAATAAAAGACAAATCAAGAGCCAAATAAATGGACAAATAATTGGGCAAATAAATGGACAAATAAAAAACAAAAAGGACTCAGAAAAGATCCGAAAAAGATCCAAGAAAGATCCAAAAAGCATCCAAAAAAGGCCAAAAAGACTACAAAGACTAATAGATGGGCAAATAAAGAGACAAATAAAAGACAAATAAACGACAAATAAAGGGACGAATAAATGGACAAATGAATAGACAAAGAAAGAGACAAAAGACATAAATGGAGAGTAAAAAGGGTATAAAAAACGTCCAAAAAGATCCAAATAAAAACGCAAAAACACCAAAGAGGAGACAAAAAGACAAATAAATAAATAAATAAATGGACAAACAAACAAAAGACAACTACAGAGACAAACAAACAGACAAAAAAGGAGACAAATAAAGGGCAAAAGAGATTCAAAAACGACTAAAAAAGATCAAAAAAAGATTTGGAAAGTTCAACAAGTAGGAAAGTCGGGGTGTACGTACCTTGGTGTCCGGGAGGTGTATGTACAGCTCGTCGTGGTCCATTTGGAACCCTGCGATTTGGGAGTAAGGAGCGAAAATGCATTTTTGATTTTGTTTTAAAATATTTCTTTTTCTTTTCTTTTTGGACTTTGTTTCATTTACTTCTTTGGATTCGTTTGCAGATTCGGACTCTCCTTCTTCTGCTTCGTCTTCTCTGAGCAAAAGCAAAAAAAACAATTCAAAATAAGCAATAATTAATTAAATAATTAAACAATTAAATAATTAAATAATCATTTAATTAAGTGGTTCAATTGATTATTTATTTAAACAGTTAATTAATTTAATTAACTATTTATTTAAATGGTTGAATTAATTAATTAGTTAACCAATTAATAACTAATTAATTAATTAAAACAATTACTCATTAATTAATTAAATTGACTAATTCATTAACTAATTAACTGACCAATTAACTAATTAATTAACTAGTTAATTAATCAATTAAATTAACTAATCAACTAACTAATTAAATAGTCAACTAATTAGTTAATTAATTAAGTTAACTTATTAATTAACTAATTAATTAAGGAATTAACTAATTAACTAACGAATAAAACAGTTAACTAGTTGATCAGTTAATTAAATTAATTAAATAACTGATTAATCTGTAAACCAACTAATTAACCAACCAACTAACTGACTAAATAAATACCCAATTAACTAACTAAATAAACAAACAATAAATAAATAACAAACAACTAGTTAACTAATTAACCAATTAACTAATTAACTAGCTGACTAACTAACTAACTAACTAACTAACTAACTAACTCACTAACTAATTAACTAATTAACTAACTAACGAACTAACTAATTAACTAATTAAATAATAATAAACAATAGATAATAAACAAATAATAAATAACAAATAATAAATAATGACAAATGTACAACTTACGAGCTCTGCGGCAGCGGGCAAGGGTCTTTAACTTTTTCCACTTTAAATATTTCAAAGTCCCCAGCGCCTGGAATGTGCACAAGTCCATTTGCGCGCAGCACGGAGCCCCGCACGAACCCGTAAAACGTGCACGCCTCCTGCTGCTGCTGCTGCTGCTGCTGCTGCTGCTGCTGCTGCTGCTGCTGCTGCTGCTGCCGCTGCTGCTGCTGCTGCTGGAGGTGGTGGCTGTGGTGCTGCTGCTGGTCGGGCTGCTGCTGGTTGCGCGGCTGCGCTTGCTGCTCCGGGGCAGGCTGCAGGCTGTCGCTGCTGCTGCTGCTGCTGCTGCTGCTGCTGCTGCAGCAGGGCGTTTCTGCTGCTGCTTTGAGGGCGAAAACGTAGGGGTGGGAGTTTCTCCAAGAAAGGGTTTTGGGTTTTGCGAGGGAAAGAAACCTGGCGAGGGTTTTCAAGGGTTTGGATTTGTACTTGTGGTTTTGAAAACCCTCGAGGGCGAAGACCTTGGCCCCCCCGTAAACCTCCGTCCTAAACCGCTCTTTTAGGGTTTGCTTCCGCTTCTTCTGCTGCTTCGAATCCAACAAATCCAAGTGCGTCAAAACCCCCAAAACCCTCGGAAACCCGTGCGTCTGCAGCATGTTCAGAAACTCAAACGTCTCCATTTCAAACCTGAACGCAAACCCCAAACCCTAAACCCTAAACCCTAAACCCCAAACCCTAAACCCTCAGCACGCCGCTCCAGCCCCCAAACCTCCAAACTCCCCTCCCCCTCCCCCAACGCCAACCCCCAAACCCTAAACCCTAAACCCTAAACCCTGAGCCCCAAACCCCAACCCCCAAACCCCAAACCCTAAACCCTAAACCCTAAACCCTAAACCCTAAACCCTAACCCGTTGTTTGCGTCGATGAGGAGAACCGCAATGTCTGCGACTTTTGCTGCGTCGAGCATTGCAGCAAAGTTGTTTGGAACTTCGAAAAAAGTTAATCTCCGAAGTTTGGAGACAGTTAAGGAGACAGTCCCCTGGGGTGTACAGACACTGCGTCCGGTGTACGCGCGCAGCAGGCCCCGCAGCAAACTCGACTTGCCCACCTGCAGCACACACCCCACACGCTGCTGCTGCTGCTGCTGCTGCTGCTGCTGCTGCTGCGGGGTTCAGGGAGTGTTTGCTGCTGCTGCTGCCGAGGGTGTGAGAGACACTTTGCTGCTGCGGAGCGAAACGGCGCTTTGCTGCTGCTTGAATGAGAGACACTTTGCTGCTGCCGAAAGGAGACACTTTGCTGCTGCTGCTGCTGCTGCTGCTGCTCAAAGGAGACACTTTTGCTGCTAAGGGACACTAAGGCCAATTGAGAGACAAAAAGGAGACAAAAAAGATAAAAAATAAATTAAAAAAATCAAAAGAGTGGGCAAAAGGAAATAAAAAAGAGACAAAAAAGAGACAAAAAAGATATTAAAAGCAACAAAAAAGCAAATTAAAAGCAAATTAGAAGTAAATTAAAAGTGAATTAAAAGTGAATTAAAAGTGAATTAAAAGTGAATTAAAAGGCCCCCAAAGTGGGGCCCCACGTACCCCTGGGGGCCCCTGAATGGCCACGTTTAGCGGGGGGGCCCCTTTTGGGGTTTTATTTATTTGAAATATCTGCTGTCTCTTTTCTTGCTGCTCCAGGGCCTGCTGCAGCTTGCGGTGTACAGACACCGGGCCCCCACTGAAGGTGAAGGCCTTCGGATTGTGTCTCTCCAACTTGTCCCCTTTTCGGGTCTTTTTCGGGGCCTTGGAGGGGCCCCCGGGGGGCCCCCCCTGCGGGGGGCCCCCCGGGGGCCCCTCCAAGGGCCCGAAAAAGACCCGAAAAGGGGAC